TCTCTCTCTCTCTCTCTCTCTCTCTCTCTCTCTCTCTCTCTCTCTCTCTCTCTCTCTCTCTCTCTCTCTCTCTCTCTCTCTCTCTCTCCTTACAAACGGAGACTTAGCTACCAACATCGGAACAATGGGGAGCTACCAACATTTCCCTGCAGCTACATGCCGAAACTGGGTGGACTATAGAACACTTCTTTCCAGAAGTCGGGTCCCTCACTCAGCAACTCGTTCACACACTCCAATCGCCTGCACGTGCCCTGCAGTTGCTCAACTTGCGCCTGCAGTTTGCAGCAAGACATGCAGGTGGGCGTTGAAGATGAAGTCCGACTTTCAGTTGCACACTGGTCCGTATCTTCAAGTTTCACGCTTTCCAATTGCCCGCACACCAGGGCCAGTTCCAACTCCGAATTGGGGGCCCCGCGTCTCAACTCCGAATACCGTTGCCATGCAATATCCCGCTCATCTACGGCCTCCTGCATGGCAATCTCAGCATCAGCCACACGCGTCTGCATTTTATCATTGTCGCCTTCCGCCTGAACCAAACGTCTGCGCAGTTCATCAATCTCACCTTCCGCCTCATGCAAACGCCTGCGCAGTTCATCAATCCCACCTTCCGCCTCATGCAAACGCCGTGCACATCTTCAATCTCGATACGACTTTGCCGCAATGATGTGTGCAGCTCACCAATCTCCTGGTGTGCGTGCTGAAGCCGTGAACGCACGTGCTCACACTCGTTTTTCTTATTCACAAGCTTGAGCAGCACTTGCTCACACCAGGCACGGAAGTTTAAACGACTCTGCCTCAATCGCCCGCCCACACGAACGCACCACCTGCGTGCGTGGGTGCCATCCTGCGTCACCTCTGACTCCAGCCGCTGTCGCCCCTCGCGAATGGTGACAATGATATCGTCCCCCCTGGCGATGAGGAACCTGTGCAGGACTGACAAATCTTGATGGGCTCGCAGCAGGTCATTGGTCAGTCCCTGTGCAACATGTGCATCCTCATCTCCAGCAAGCGCGCCCCCTGCTATGCCAGCAAGCCCTCCACTGCCCGCGACAGCATTCTCCATACAGCGCCGTGTGGTGTGTGTGTGTGTGTGTGTGTGTGTGTGTGTGAGTGAGTTGGTATGTGGACAACTGTGCAGTGTCAGTGGGGGGGCAGGCAACCCTACACATCCACGACGGGGTCCTGCGGCCGGTTTAAATAATCACATAATGCGTCACGGACCGCTAAACCAGCCCCTCTGCATCTCAAGTGCCTGAGGGGCGCAGAAGATCGAGGAGCTCCGTTGGCAGGCTGGTTACCATGTCCACCACCCACACCTTCGATGTTGGCACCCTCTGGCAAATCTCCCCAGGAAAGCAGCAAGTTGTGTAAAATGCAGGCAGCTTGGAACTCTTTGCCTTCAATGCGAATGTCACAAACATGCGGTCGGTAGAAGTACTGAAACCTCATCTTCAGCACACCATTCCCACGCTCCGCATATGAACGCACAAGTTTGTGGGTGCCATCAAAGACCTTGATTTCCACGGGCGGATTATGAATGCCGTAAGGGACCACTATCCAAGACAAGGTAGGATAGCCTGCGTCCGCGAGCAAGTATCCATTTGGCACCCCAGGAACGGTCGGCCTCAAATGCCTTGTGGGATCGGACGGCTCTGCTTGGAACAGCCCCCCCCTCAGTGCCTTTCTAAACAAGGATGAGTTTCGAAGAACACGCCCGTCTGCAACAGTGCCTGGGAATCCGTAACACATATCCAGGATGCGCAGATCTAGATCGAAAACCAGTTGCGCTACAATGGAGAACCGTTTTTTGTGGCCTGCCATAAATTCATCACCGTCCTTCTTCTTCGGCTTGTCCACGAAAACATGAGTGCCGTCCATACACCCCCAGCAATTCGGGAATCTGGCAGTCCGCAACTTCACGAACAGCACGCAGTCCACTGGTCTTTCCCATGCCGTACGCCGAGGTGCTATGGAGATGCGAGTCCCCGTGCGCCCACCTGTGCAGAGCATATGCAAGAACCTGGGCAGGCGGGAGAGGTGCTCTCCATTTTGTCACCTTTTTAGCAAGATGTGGCGCCAACACATGCAGGAGTCGATTGAAATTTGATCGCCGCATGCGAATCTGCGAAACATAGTGGCCATTCTCGGCATCATCCACGATCTCGAGGTCCTTCCAAACACCCCCACTCCGTCTCATAACCCACCACCGTGGAGAGTTTCGTGGCAGCACACCAGTAGCATGTACCACAGACGGCCATTGCCAAACAATGCTTCTCCGTCTCTTTTTTGGCGGCTGTGCTTCGTCCTCCCCACCCGAAGTCCTACGCAAAACTACATGCTTCCCATCAAACGGGGAGTCATTCCAAAGGCAATTGAACGCAGTCAAGCAGTCCTCCGTCAGTTTCTGTGCAGCGGCGAGTATGGCCACAATGGCTTCGGCAACAGACGCATCGAGGGGTTCCATTTCCACTGCCCCCCCCCCCCGAAAAAAATAAAGGCCGGCTACCCGTCAAACTCAGGCTGGATGTGTGGTATCACAGTGGAACAGTGCCCGCTGCACAGGGCCAGTAAAGCAGATTACGTGACCTCAAACTGGCCTTTGCCTGCAGAACACCCTGCCCGCAGCGCTACCCAAGGCACAAGTGCCACAAAAATGGCATCTACACTCTCCTTCCCACTTGGCGTGGCTATGTATAGGACACACCCACGGTTGTTCCCACGCACATGATACACGGTATGGGACTTCGTACTTCAAAGGCGTGAAGTAAAGGCAACACTTGTACTCGTCACAACATTATGGGCCTCGCTGCACTACTCTTGAAATGCACAAAAGACAAAAATCATGTCGCTGTATCTTTCCATGTTCCAGCGGAAGATTCACTCTCGTTTTGCACCTTTCAAGAGTAGTGCAGCGAGGCCCTGTATCAGGCACATAGGGCCTCGCTGCACTACTCTTAAAAGGTGCAAAACGAGAGTGAATCTTCCGCTAGAACATGGAAAGATACAGCGACATGATTTTTGTCTTTTGTGCATTTCAAGAGTAGTGCAGCAAGGCCCACATTGACACAAAAAAAAAATTGGACGTCGTACGTACTTCACAGTGCCACGGCCTCAGAATGCCGAATCTGTCAGGTCCGCAGACTCGGGCACAGGGAGTAATGATAACGATTTCGCCTTTACTTCTTTTATTTTTTCAATAAATTCACAGAATACAAAAAATTGACGAAAAGGTCTTTATGGAATTGACAAAAAATGCGAGAAAATAGTTTTTTAATCACGAAAACCGTGTCGCACCGTTGAGCTAGCTCAACTCAACGGTGCAAGTGGGACATGGCCCCGGATGGATCCTTTTCTGCCCGAATTGCATTGATTTTTCAAACTCTTGGGGGATGTTTTCTTCCAAGGGGACATGTTCTTTACACATTCGCAAACTCAAAACCTCCTGCCTCCATACTTGTTTCAAAACAAAAAGGGGAAAAGTTATAGAACCTTCCCGAAACCTTTTTACTCATTTGCCCCCAAACGGGGCAAAAAGTGGTGCAGGGCCCAAAATGACTTTTTGCATCAGTTTTGCACCCTGGAAAACACTTTCCTGCCATTTTTGACATCCTCCATCCTATCCTGAATCAATCAATTTTATTCATGCTTTCCAAACAGCAGCATAGAGCCAGATTTTTTTTATTATTATTATTTTTTTTTTTGGTCAAACAGCCGGAGAAGGTTGCTAGGGGTGCTGATAAGAGCAGACACCCCTAGCACTCTCTGGGAGGCTCCATCTATTGGTGGGGAGCAGCACCTGCTGGAAACCGGGTCCAGCGTCCCATTGACTACCTTGATGAATCAGGCTCAGCACCTGCTGGAAACTGGGTCCGGCGTCCCATTGACAACCTTGCTGAGAATCAGGCTCAGCGTCCTTTAAGAAGTACCAGCAGAGATAGTCTATACATCCAAAGCATTTGCCTGACTGCCAGTATGAAGGAGTTTTGGGAGGAAAAGGGGTCTCTTCGCCCTGCTGCATGGCGCCCTACTGTCCTTGTCTTCCGGACCTCCTGCCTCCCTTTGAATGCAGCCGTTGCTAATGAAGTGATTTACCAGTCCTCCCGGGGGAGCATAGAACCAGATTGACCAGGCCTGGCTATCTTCCTTTTTATTAGAGGTAACTAGGGCCCTAGGGGGTCAAAAAAAAAAAAGATCCTATTTTCAATTGAAACACGTTTTCGTAGTCTAGTTGCGGGCGGAGTTTCACATGGAGTCTAGTCTTATGGGTTTCTGGAGTTTCACATGGAGTCTAGTCTTATGGGTTTCTGGAGTTTCACATGGAGTCTAGTCTTATGGGTTTCTGGAAAATGCCGTGGTGCAGGCAAAAGGGGCTAGGGCCACATGGGACCCCTGCCCCTCCACTCCCGGCGGGGAGAATTTCAGCCTCAGATCTATCACAGATAGAACGGATGGAATTTCACATGACGCGTGAAGAGCGGCAGCCCCTCTTCACTTAGGGCCAGATCCCACTTGCCCCTATTGTTCATTTCTGACCGTTGACCTTCGTAATCGAGGGTGAAAACTGGACCCGCACGAGGCGCGGGGGCGCAGCCAGGGCATCTGAGATTGTAGCTTTGGGGGCTACACGGATGATTATGCGAGGCAGCTTATTTTATTTTACAATACATTATATCTATGTAGACGCTGGGATGTTGAGTAAGGAAAGAAATATCTCAAAACCAAAAAAAAGTAAAGAAAACAAAAAACGGAAAACTAACAAAGGGCGTCGCTCCACTACTCTCGACATGTACCAAAGACAAGAACCATGGCGGTGTATCTTTCCGCGTTCTAGCGGAAGATTCACTCTCGTTTTGCACGTGTCGATAGTAGTGGAGCGAGGCCCAAACGTCGCTTTTCTATCTAATCTAAGGGCGTCGTTCGACACCTCTCGGGGACGTGATTTCAAGGATTTCGTCTTCGTTCCACCTGTCCTCGGAGCCGATTTTCGAAACGGAAATGTGAAAACACTCCGAGGACAAATCCTCGGGCTCCGAGGATTTTCCAACCAGATCGTCCTCGGCTCCAAGGGACCTCACGAGGTCCCTCGGAGTCCGAGGGTCCGCGATAATCGGGGTGTCGGCGGCGAGTCGAAAAGGGAAATTGGTGGTCGGAGGTGGTCCAGTGCTGGTCCTCTGTGTTGAAGACGGACATTGCGAGGCGCCAACGTCCAAAACGTCCACGAACGGCCTCGACTTTTTACTGTTGTCGGGGATTGGCGGTACGTCCCTGTCGGTTCGTCGGGCGGCCCCACGACGGTGCCGTGCCGGGCATCGAACGATTTCGGGCGGGTCGTGGAGGTGTCGTAGCGTTACCGCGGGCTGCCCAACGGTCGGAAACACGGATTTCTTTAACCGTCCACCCCCGGCCGGTGGCTGCAGCAATTTCGTACGTTGTCGTCTTCCCTCGTGCAACGTGTGTCTCCGGGCACCGCGATCGCGACAGCCAAGTGCGTCCCCTCTCCTTCATGGCTGACCTATGCCGCAGGCTGCCTTTGTTGCTGCTTGCCGCTGTACTGCTGCTTGTCGTTGTCGTCTTTCATATCTGCATCCTCGGTCGCGTCCCTGGGAGGAAACATAGGCGCCGAACGACGAAGGCGACCGGGAAGATGGAGAAGGTGCAGACGAAGAGGACGATATCCGTAGGGGCTGGCGGGTCATCACGTCAGCATTGCAGCTCTGCGGAAGGCGGCAGGCGCCCGTACGACCCGACGCTGTACAGCCACCTACCGTCCCACGAGATTCCATTGCCTCCGAGTGACGACGACAGCGACGAGCCCCGATCATCAACGGTTCCTCTGGGCAGCGGTTCGACGCAGGATTGGATGGGGAGCCAGCTGTACAGACAGCCCTCGACGCCGACGTACACTGATCTGCTGGAGGGGCGGACCCCGGTTGGTTATGACGGAGGGCTCGTAGATCTCAGCTTCGGTTTGAGGTCTGGGAGTGGCCAGGACGTCATGCACACCGTTCTCGTGAACCCGGGTTCTGCCAGCAACCACACAGCGCCTTCGGTGGGGCTGTGTGGGCTTCTTGACACCCGCGGCCGGGGTTCTGGTCAGTCGGGCGATGAGCGTGGACTCGTTTCGCAAGGGCGGACGGCAGTGGGCACAGCAGGTGTTCGCGCGGAGGGGACGAGGACAGGTGGATCGACAACGGCAGGCGGCGCAGTCCACCGAGGAGGGGATGACGCTGACGGCTACGCAGCGGAGGTCGCGGGGCGAGAGGTTTGGGATGATTACCGGCGACAATCGCGACAATCTAGCACGCTTGCCATAACGAGAGGGGTGGCGAAGATCAATGTACGGGCGGACGACACACCCGACGATTGCCACCGTGCGGGTGGTGAAGATTTGTCGGAAGGCGACGGGGGCAACGACAACGACGACGACGACGACGGGGAGATGGAGATTTGTCCGCTGGGGAAGAAACGGGGAGGGCCGAGGGCGACGAGCAAGTCCAGCGAGCCGCGTGCGGGGCGGAGAGGCAAGAAGACTGCGGGAGATGCATTGGCAGGCGACGGAGCGAAAAGCAGGGATTTTTGGACCGTGGAACACATGATTGCTCTTGTCAGAGCTAAAAGAGACCAGGATTTGCATCTTGCTGGCCTCGGCCACAACATGGGAAGGATGAAGACGAAGACATGGAAGTGGGCTGACATTGAGAGCAGGCTCGTGCAGATGGGGGTGACGACTAGAAAGGCCGATGACTGCGAGAAAAAATGGGACAACCTGTACATGCAGTTCAAAATTGTGCACAAGTTCATGGGAGAATCGGGGAAGCCTGATTTCTTCTCACTGGCGCCGCGAGAGAGAAAGGAGCGGGGGTTCGATTTTCGGATGGACGAGCGTGTGTATTCGGAGATGATGGCCATGTCCAAGGGCGATCACACTATACACCCCATGAATTTGGCGGACACGGGTGTGGCGGGAGGTGTTCAACTGGCAGGCCGGACTGGAGGTCGGAACGAATCAGGCGGTAGTGACGGATGCGGGGATGGGCAGGACGACGATCAAGGATCGACGCGGAATTCAAGTTTCAGCGGCGGTGCTGTGGGCGGGTGCGGCAAAAGGAAGAATGTGAGACAACAGACCTTCAACACGATTGCGGACGTCATGAAGCACCACGAGAGTCTGATGGCGACGACGGTGGACAGCGCGAGCGAGAGGTAGTGCTCAATTCTGACTAGGCAATGCGACATTCTCGAGCGAGAGCTAGAAGTGCAGAAGGAGCACTACGTGAAGACAGACCAGGCGAACCTGTTGATGTGCGACGCCCTTATGGAGATTGCTAAAGCGATCCGCGAACGATCATGAAGTCGATGGGCCACACATGTCCAACGTCCACGCGAATGCCTCGTGTGTGCTTCTGGATCGTCGGCGTTGCCCCCGTACTGCGTGCTGCTGTGCGGTGGTGGTGGGCAGGTTGTTTACAGAGGACGGCTCGTTTCTGCATGCAGTTTCCATTGCACGAGTCGACTTTTTTTATTAGTTTGAAGGGTGTTGATTGCTGTCATGCCCGTCGGTACGTCAGTCGGATAAAGGAATGGGCGGCAGGGTGTTTTTTTTTTTTTTTTTTTGGGTGGGAGGGGATAACGGAGGACAGGGGCGCCTCAACCATGGACCTCCAGTGTGATTTTCTGGGGTGGCGGGCGACGATTTGTTGTCGGATAAAGGAATGGGCTGTAGGGAGATGGTTCTGTGTCGGATAAAGGAATGGGTGGGAGATGGGTTGCTGTCGGATAAAGGAATGGGCGGCCAGGTGTTTTTTTTTTTTTTTTTTGGGTGGGAAGGGACAACGGAGGACAGGGGCGCCTCAACCATGGACCTCCTGTGTGATTTTCTGGGGGTGGCGGGCGACGGAAGCGTGCCGGGGTCTTTGGACCTCCACCATGGTCCTCTTGCGCGCCCACACGCGAAGTTGGCCATAGGACGGATCACCACAAGCCTTCGGGAAAAAAACGGTCCGTGTACGATCGGCCAGGGGACGGGCTGTTGTGGACGGCGTGGCGTGTACACGGTGTGCGGCGTTGGCGCACCGCATTGAAAAGGAGATTGCGGGCCGCAGTCCGTACGGCAGTACTCCATTGTCCACGTCTCCAACGGTGTCGTCTGATCACTGATTCCTGGCCGCAAGCCAGCACTTCCCGCCCTTTGCGCCTCCACTCTCAAGCTTTGTGCACCGCGTGCAGTCCCCCCTCACGCGCCGCAAGCACGTGCTCTTTTTTCTGTGGCCATCATCGTCGTGGCTCCTGCCCACCACGACTGTGCATCGTCCACGTGCCCCTTCGTCGACGTGGCCGTCGTCGATCTCCAAGCGTCATACTTCCACGTGCTCCTTCGTCGACGCGCTCCTTCGTCCATGTGTTCGTCGTTGCGGAGTTGCGGACGACGTGGCCCCGAGGAACGCATCAGCGAAGGCCAGGCAAAATAGCAGGGCGGGCGACGAGGGGGAAACCAAAAGAGGCAGAGGGCACATCCCTAAGCCGAAAAGGCAGCGCGTTGAAGAGTCGAGCTCCGAGCACACTGCAGACTTCCAGCCAGAAGAAGTGGTGATGGTGGACGCGCAAGGTACTTCAGCGGCGCCGCGATTGGGTTTCGGGCGAGATGGGTTGACGAGGGAACAGGTGTCCGCTGTGAAACAGAGCATTGCTGTTGGTGCTGCCGGGGCGTAGCAAAGGACCTCGAAGGCGGCAGCGGTTGTCATAACGGAGGTGCGCGTCCCGAGGCAACTTCCCGCGGCGACGGGGAAGGTCCAGCCACGTCAGCCACTTCCACTGCAACAGTTGGAGGCTTCGGGGGGGGGAAAGCACAGCCCGCGCAAAAGGGCGATGCAACGGCGATCGGCACTCGGACGGCGGCGGCGGATCGCAGTGGTAGAACCAGAGTTGCCGAAGGTGCGGGCGAGGAGAGGGTAGACGACGTCCGCAACGACGTCCGCCACGACGAGGGAAGAAGAGACGGAAAGCGGGAGGGCGACGACGACGACGACCGTCCACTTGTAACGAGGTTGAAGGGAGACGCAAAGGAGGATGGTCTGGAGGAAAGATCGAAGTTGTGGGTTGATTGCGACTCTTTCTGGGGTCAGGGACCAGGGAAACCCTTGAGGGAGGCGGTTGGCGAGTGCGCGGACTACTTCATCGCAATCGCCAACGGAGACGCGGGAGCTGAACCGCCTGCGATGCTCATACTGCCGCCGAACGACGTGCCGCGCTTCAAGATCGACAACCCTGCTCAGCGTGGACCGGCTCTGCGCAGAGCGCGCAACGTCGAGAAACTGGTGCTGCGCGTCATCCACGGCTAGATCTTCAAATCGTCGTCGCAGTCGGCTGGATTCGCTCGTCCAGAGTCGTACATCACTGTCGACATTGCCACAAACGTCGCACGAGCAGTTTGGAAGGGGCAGGAATGGTCGAATGTGGTGTCCCCTGCACTCGTGTACCACACTCTGGCGAYGAAGATGGACGTGCCTCTGTGGTTCGCGGGGGTGAAGATTGTGGATCGGCCAGAGGACGACGACATGGCGGTGCGGCAGGAGGCGACAGTTCTTCGCATCGCGGAGTGCTGGACAGACGCAATGTGGTGTGGACAATGGGCAGACGACGGGCGCGTGAAACAAGAGAGGTTGTCTAGGCTTGCGGACTGTCTTCGAGCGTTGTTGAGCGCGTGCATGTGGATCATGCGCATGGGTGGTGACGACGACCGTTCGCACTACGAGGCGTGCCTTTACTCGTCCCTGGTCGCCAAACCGACAATGATAGCGGCGGGGGCGTACATCTTCAACTGGCGGCGACACATCGTCGACAGCGCGAACCTCGTCTTGGATCGTATAGGGAAGGCTCACCTCACGCTGGGAGAATACCCGCACTGTATTCCGAAATAATGTGACTGCGGGTTGGTGTTCGGCCACAACGCGGCCCTGAAGAACGTGGCGGAAGCCGCGAAACACGGATGGATTGGCAGCGGGCCTGCGGCGGAGGAAGTGGGAGACGAGGACGGTTGACACGTGGGTGCATCCGTGGCGCAGCGTCAAGGTGCGGTTATGGTGACTCGAACGGCGTCTGGTATCGAGTGTCGTCATGTATAGGTCAGGTTGCAGTCGTAGTGGTGCATGTGTAGTGAACGATGCTTTCATTTATTTTGTGTCATTATTAGGTGATTGGAGCGCGCTTGGTACGCTTGCTCCGCCGCAGGGTTAATTAGGTCGGCGGACTGCTCCGCCGAAATGTGCGTAGACGGCAGGACCGGTCGGTGTGTAGTGTTGAACGCTAGAAGTGTTGATAGTCAGACAGAAGGGGGAATCGTCGCCGATGCGATTGATTATATGTAATATGAACTCAGTGAAATGTGTGTTGCTTTTTCCATGTCTTGTGTTTGCATGCAAAAGATTGTGCACGGAGTCATGTCATCGTTGTCTTCTGTGTGGTTTTATCACATGATGCACGCGTCAATGGCCATCGCATCGTCGTCCGCATCTTCTTGTGTATGAGCCCATGTGTTTTCTATTTCACCTATCGCGGCATCGTTGTCATCGTCGTGAACTTAACAAAGAAAATAAATAAAAGGATTACGTCTTCGTTGCACGGTTGCATGATGAGCACATCAGTCGCGATATCATCTTTCTTTTCGTTGTCGATGCATGTAAGTCGTGATTCACAAACGCGATGCACGTCATTAGTCAATGCAAAAAACGAAGTAGAAGAGTTTTTTGGAAAAAAACGGAGACAAGCAGAGACGACATGCACAACACCCGTTCCATGCACCGCAAAAAAAAAATTAAAAAAATAAAATAATAATAAATAAATAAATAAAATAAAATAAAATAAAAAACAATATAAAAAAAAGAACATCCCTCGAAAGAATAGCAGCAGTTGGGTACGCCGAAAAATCCATTGCCAAACATCATTAAAAAAAATGCACCGTTCTAAAGTTCTAAAAAAAAAAGGCGCGTGAACCGCATTTGAAACAACGGGCTCACGAACCTCTTCCTGCAAGCCCTCGACTACGACTCCCGTCTACGACAAACCCACCCCCCGCCCACCACATCACCCACCCCCCCCCAACCCCCATCAAACAAGGACCGAATCCATCGACNCCACCACATCACCCACCCCCCCCCAACCCCCATCAAACAAGGACCGAATCCATCGACGACTCCACGTCATTGCGCGGGAAAACAAACTTCTCAGCCACTAGGACAATGAAGAGCCGAAATACGAAAAGACGAACGCAGAGGACGAGTACTACATCAGCGATCCCGTCGCACTCCCGCTGCGCGACGGACTGGACCTATACAGCGTCGTCGGATACAAGAACAAACACCTGAAAAGAATCTGACCGCGACGGCACGACTTCAACGGGACGAACAGGTAGGCGACTTGGTGGATCAAACGTGTTTCATCCGCTGCGCCAGTGCATTGCGGAGCGTATGAGCCTCCCGCGTTGAAGTCAACATGGACACTGGCTGCGGGGGGCGATGAATCCCCAGGTCCACTCGCCGCCTCACCTCGTTCGCGTCTACCTCCCACAACAAATTCTCGTCGAACTCGATTCCTGCATTGAGCAGGATGTTGTGGAGAATGCATACCGCAGTGAACTACTGCGGCAAACTCTCGAGGTTCGTCTTGTGCGTCCGCAGGAAGGGCCTCCACATCCCTTTCAACCTCCCGAACGCCCTATCCACGGCCCCTCTTGCGACCTTCTGTTTCGTGTCGAACCTTTCCTCGTCCGGGTGCTGATTGATTCCTCCGTACGGCACCACCACCTACTCAGAAGGAGGATACCTGTTGTCGCCCAAGATGTATCCGTTCGTCGTCACCCCTCCCGGCAGCGTCACAGGCGGCCCACGAAACAGCAATCCCTCTTCCGCGCGCCTCGACAGACTTGACAGCTGGATCACCCTAATGTCATGGCAGCTACCCGGATATCCCACGAACACATCAAGGACGCGCAGATCCAGGTCCACCACAACCTGCGCAATGACGGAAAAACGGTGCTTGCGGTCGAAGTAGTTCTCGCTAGGCGCGTTCGCCGGTTTGTCCACGTAGATGTGTGTGCAGTCAACTGCGCCATGGCAATTTGGAAAGCCCTTGTCCAGAAAATCCCGTAGGACGACTTGTTTCCGCACCCCCGTCGGCCATGATATCTTCTCCCCGTACACCCTCAAAATGGCGGCTGTCACATCGCGCACGACTCGAACTCCGGAAGTCCTGCCCATGCCGAAGGATGAGGTGCTGTTATCGTAAGACTCTCCTGTGGCCCACCTATACAATGCGTATGCGACGATCTGCTTTGGCTGCAGTGGCTCCCTGTAAAATGTCACCTGCCGCTGCACATCAGGCACACATGCTTCGCTGATCTCCATGAACACTCTCCTCGACATGCGGAGCTTTTCCCGGAAGTAGTCCTCTGTCGCGTCATCGCAAACCCGTAAATCCTCCCAAGTCCCACCAGCTCTCCGCCGCATCCACCAACGTGGCGTCGCCCGAGGAAGCAAACCGCTCCCGATAGAAGCACACAACTGAACCACGGCTTGAGATGTGGTGATGCAGTCCGGGGCGTCCAACACCCTTTGCAACAGTAGTCTCTGCCGCCACCTGGAAAGCGCTGCCTTCATCCGCCCGGCCGCACTCTCGATTTGAAAACGACGGACAACGGCAACCGCAGTCGCCGCTCTGCTGTCTTCTCCGTCGTCGATAGCACAGCAGGTCCATCGCCATCGCAGCCGTCCATCACGTCCCTCGTAGACAAAAAACGACGTCCACCGCCTTTCACCTCCGTGCACGTATGCCGCCACGTGTTGAAGACGCCTGCAACCACGTCAGGAAGACAGCCCAGCCCAACGACGCGATTCCGATTGGAGCGTCCACCCACCACCGCTGGCGTCCACCCACCGCCGCGGCGCTTGCACGTGGCGAACGCGACTGACGTCTTTGTTTCGTCTCGTCGACCACACTTGACGCACCGCCGCTCCACTACTCTACATTCCACATGAATCTAGACTGCAGTTCGACCAGGTACATTCCGACTGATCCAAAATTTTGAATGTACCGGGTCCATTACCAGCTCCACATACATTTGGAATCTTTTGCAGTGGAGCAAAGCCCAGTACCGCTTTCTTGTGGCCATTAGAAGAAAGACGATAAGCAACACCCTCCTAATCGGATCGAGAGCCACGTGGCATTCATCCAACAGCAACCAGATCGCATCACTAATCCAATCACAGAGAGAGAGAGAGAGAGAGAGAGAGAGAGAGAGAGAGAGAGAGAGAGAGAGAGAGAGAGAGAGAGAGAGAGAGAGAGTAGTGGTCAGGGAGATGCTGGAGAGAAGCATATTGAATCGATACACAAGATTAGCATGGCTCCTCCGCATATGACGCGTATGGACTCCGATGATCGAGGTGGCAGTGTGAATGTG